TGTTTCTCTGCACAAATATTTGAACTTATTGTTATTTTTGGGGGTTTATATGCCATGAGTTTTCTGATCTGGCCCCTTTGGGATCAAAGTAGGTTGGATACGGCCCCCAGACCAAAATGAGTTTGACACCCCTGACATAGACCATGATCGTTTGCTCTGTTTTCAGTTAAATAACTTAATAAGCACTTTTAAATCTAAGGGTGTAACTATATCCAAGTCTAACGATAAGATATTGTTACGGTATGAATCTCACGGTACGTTATTTTTTGCGATATCGGGGGAAAGCTCACGATTAGGGATGTAACAATATCCAAAATCTCCCGGTACGATATTTTATAGGATATACATCTCACGGTACGATATTTATTGCGATATGTTGTAGAGGCTAACAAACAAAACTGCCTTGACAAGAGTTAACCCAAAGACTTAAAAATGCTTAGAACTGTTATTTCTTCTTGTAGTCTACACTGAAATGGAGCAAAGGATCATGGTCTATGTAGTTCCCTCTGTCTTTTTCTGCACCATAACACTTAATTTACGCAAAGACACTTGTAATATAGTATATTGTGATGGTCCACGATATTACTGGGAGAACTTTGGCGATACAATATCATGATATTTAAAATCTTTAGTTGATAAGAGAACCAAAGGCTTGCAAAGGCATTTTTTAAAAAGGAAAAAGTAGTATATTCACTATTTTATTATTTTATTAGCCTCTGCAAAACAATAATTGTAATAAATATCGGACCGTGAGACGCATATTGTTGGTTTTCAGATTCGAGATTTCAGATTCTTGATGACATACTCTAAGATAAGGGGCAGGAGACAGTTTTTCCCAGAGATTACCTTATACTGCACTCTGAAATATCCAAACGGTACATTCATAAATATATAAACTGATCATTTCTATAGCGCTCCTGCACCCACATGTCTAAATCTGACAGGGAAGCAATGCTGGCAGTGGTGGATTAGCGGAAATGAATTGCACAGAGTCAGCATTTGGGAGTTATTTCTTTTTGTCATTAAAGGAAATCGTAGACAATGATTTGGCTTGAAATGAATCAGATTAAACATGAATGACCCTTATCTGGCACGAGCTTAATTTTAAAGACAATAGGCTGCGCAGATTTCGCCTTAATTCTGATATATCTGGACATCTGGATTACTTTTCACCAAAAAAGGTCCTTGTAGATAAAGTAAGACTAAAATGTGGCTGTTCGCTGATGTTTGTTTGTTCCAATCAGGTGCCTCTTGGAAAAAGGATCAAAACTTTGGACACAACAAAATCCAGGTGCTCCAAAAAATTAAGTTGCACAAGGAAAAGTATAGTTAAAAAGACCTTTATTTAAATGGCCAAAATCAACATGTTTTGCCCATGACTGGTCTTCATCAGGGCTTAGTTCACAAAGCGTGGATTTTGTTGTGTCGAAGGTCCTCGTAAATGTTCGAGAAAAAATAAACTTTATTAAAAAACTCTCTACATATAACACTTACTGATACTGACAGATGACTAGACTCAAGAACTCACTGTATTACAACAAAAATCCATGTAGATATTAGTGTTTTTTTCTGAGAATCTTCCACAGTATGGCATTTAATTTAACTATCTCCATGGAATTAAGCATTCTACATTGCCATGCCAAGTTACAGGTCAGATCTCTGGAGAAGTGGGCCCGCTTACAGTAATAACGCATGTGTTTGTGGTAGTTTTGAGAAATAAGAAGTCCTATAATTGAATAAATGCAAGATATACTGGATGAAAAAAAAGAGATCCGAGGCACTTCAGTATGCTTTGCTCTGATTTTATTTCATGTCAAATGCCCAATGCATTTCGACTGGGAACTGGGATCAGGGAACATGATATCGGGGGCATATCGGAGCGTCTCGGATCTCCTTTTTTCATCCAGTAAGTCATTTGTACAGAAGCCGAGAGGGGTCACAACAAACGCAAATGCCGCAACACATTAAAAAGCCACAACACATTAAAAAGCCACAAAGGAAGTGACCGCGGGACTCTATTTTCCGACGGACTGATCAAGCCACAAGTGAAGAAGAAGAACTACAACGTGAAAAGTAAAGGAACGGAGAAGTTGGAAACGTAAGTAAAAGTAATTTATTGTTTTTTCATTATTCGTTGTAGTTCTTCTTCTTCACTTGCCGCTTGATTGGTCCCACGGTCACTTCCGTTGTGGCTTTATAATGTGTTGTGGCATTTGCATTTGTGTTGTGGGGTTTGTATTTGTTGCGGCTTTTGCATTAAAATAGAATCCCGCGGTCATTTCCGTTGTGGCTTTTTTGGTTTGTTGTGGCTTTTTCTTGTGTTGTCGCATTTGTATTTGTTGTGGCATTTGCGTTTGTTGTGACCCCTCTCGGCTTCCGTACATTTGCCCGCTTAGGATCTCCGAAGAGCACCCGATCTCTTATTATTTTACTTCAGCGGTGATCCAGTGAGCGCTCTAATTACCATTTACTTCAAATGCAAGATATAATTGTTTAAAGCCATACTGTGGAACATCTCGGGCAAAGTAGAGACAAGCAGATGATCGACAAGACTCAAGAACTCATTGTAGTACAACAAAAATCTGCATCTGAACAATATGACTCGCCTATAAAATGTTGTGATCACATGAAACGCAGAAAATGTGAAAATATCGAACCGAAAAACTTGGATATTGTTAAATCCCTAGTAGGAATCACTGCTGCTTGGATGTGGGCCAAATCTCCATGGTTATTCTGAAGCCTGGGACTGCTGGCTCTCTGTCTGGGGAAACGACCTGCACAGTCAAGCTTGAAGGAGGAAGACATGACAATTTAGGGAGCCATTACAACTGTGACTGCACGCATCCAAATCATAGTCACAGGGCTACGCTTCCAGTGCGTGCGTGTGTGCGTGGGACCACCGTGACTGCGTGGAACTGAAACAAGACTGACTTAGAATTCATTATGAGACGTGTTTTAATTCTGACAAGCCTTCAAGTACTCTAGAGTAAAGTGACCAGACCAGACATGATTATTTCCAAGGGACAGTCCCAGCTTTGAGCCCTGTGTCCCCTGTCCCAGCAGATTTACCCCAAACCACCGATTTGTCCAAGTTTTACACAAGAATTGTCCCAGGTGTCCCTATTTTGGACCGATTTTATACTCATAGACAGTAAAAAGAGGCAAAAATTGGCATTTATTTCTGGTAAAATACACAAAAGTCCAAGTTTTGAGCCCTGTGTCCCCTGTCCCAGTAGATTTATCCAAAACCACTGATTTGTCCAAGTTTTGTACAAGAAATGCCCCAAGTGTCCCAATTTTAGACACATTTAATACTTGCTAACAGTAAAAAGAGGCATATATTGACATTTGTTTTGGTAAAATACAGAAAATCTGCTTAAAATTGACCAAAACACAAAGAAAATTTGACTATACTGCCTCATATTAGTAGTGAATTGTCCCAGTTTTACTCAAGAATTGTTCCAGGTGTCCCCATTTTGGACATATTTAATACTTGCCTGCAGTAAAAAGAGGCATGAACTGACATTTGTTTTGGTAAAATACACAAAAGTCCCAGTTTTGAGCCCTGCATGTCCTGCCCCAGCAGATTTATGCAAAACCAGTGATTTGTCCAAGTTTTACATATGAAATGTCCAAGGTGTCCCTATTTTGGACACATTTAATACTTGCCTACATTAAAAAAGAGACATATATTGACTTTTGTTTTGGTAAAATACAGAAAATCTGCTTAAAAATGACCAAAACACACAAAAATTGTGACTATACTGCCTCATATTAGTCGTGAATTGTCCTAGTTTTATACAAAAAATGTCCCAGGTGTCCCCATTTTGGACCGATTTAATACTCCCCGACAGTAAAAAGAGGCATAAATTGAAATTTGTTTTGGCAAAATACAGAAAGGTCCCAGTGTTGAGCCCTATGTCCCCTGTCCCAACAGATTTGTCAAAACCAGTGATTTGTCCCAGTTTTATACAAGAAATGTCCCATGTGTCCCTATTTTGGAGACATTTTCATACTTGCTTACAGTAAAGAGAGGCATAAATTGACACTTGCTTTGGTAAAACACAGAAAAGCTGCTTAAAATTGACCAAAACACAAAGAAAATGTGACTATACTGCTTCATATTAGTCGTGAATTGTCCCAGTTTTATACAAGAAATGTCCCAAGTTTCCCTATTTTGGACAAATATAATACTTGGCAACAGTAAAAAGAGGCATAAATTGACATTTGCTTTGATAAAACACAGAAAATCTGCTTAAAAATGACCAAAACACAAAGAAAATGAGACTATACTGACTCATGTTTAGTCATGAATGTGCAGAGTGCAGAACAATTCGCCTTAATTACGCACTCGTTTCACAATTTTATTATCACCAACCACCACAAAACCAAGAATGCCCCAGTTTGTGGTTTGGAAATTCTGGTCTCTCAACTCAGGAGCTGTTTTACTTTCTGCAAAGGTGCGCTGTCTGAACCTGCGCATTTTCTTAAATAAACCGCAAAGTAATGCCGTGGGAAACGCGGTATCAAAGTATTGCATCAACCTGTAACTCCATCGTGGCACAGTTGGCACTAAAAAGGGTAAAACTATCCGTGACAATCTGTTTAAACGATGAGAAATCAATAGTCAATAGAGATCTAAAGCGAATATCTCCTGACTTTTCCCCGATTGTTGTCTTGTAGGTTACAGGTTTATAAAAAGGTATGAACTAAAATGGACAAACACGTTTCACTGATGCTAATTGAAGCTCATTTTACCTCCTGACATAAACGTGGCAATGGGAAAGCGTAAGATTTTCCTTGACAAACGTGAATGTTGTTGCTTCGTGCTTGGTTTGCTGAGCGTAAATCTGCGGGTGGTAGTTTTTTTACTGCATTTGTTCGTGTGAACCCTGCATGCGTCCCCGCTATGACTCATGCAGGTAGCAAGGATGCACTATCTTGTTCCCAATTAGCCATTTACAAGCAAATCCCGAGCAGTTTACACAAGAATCTCTTACCTTTCACTTGACTTTCATAGTCCGCGATAATCTCCTTATCCTTTTTGAACCTCGGCGTGGACATTTTCCCTGCGCGTCGGGATGTTGCTTGCTGAAAACTTGCAAAAACTGTTTGTCAACAAGCGGCTTCCTACAGCAGCAGTCGCATCCCACTGAGCAGCCGGAGAAAAACGCCAGCAAAAAAATTAAGGCGAGTCAAATGAGCAGTCAGCAGCACTTTTAAAAACGAGCTTCTGGCAGGCCACGGGAGCGTTTAGTCCTTCATTGTCCTCTCTGCTTCGCCGGATCCGTGTTCCAACAGGGCGAATGAGCGGAGGGAGCAGCCTGTCCGAGCGCTGCAAGCGAGCACCGACCAGGACAAGAACACTATCCCAAGTTTGGGGGTCTCCGGCGCGGCGCGGGGAGCTGTGCAAGAGCTGCGAAGGGGAAGCGAAGGCTCAGTTCCAAGAAGACTCGGGTTGGCGTCGTTTCCAGTTTGGGACGCGCACTTCCCCCCGGTTCCTCTCCCTCGACGGTTTCTCCCCAACTCTCCAGCGGCAGCAGCAGGCGGCAGAGGCAGACAGGGCAGGCCGACTGCAGCAGAGCAGCTGGAGCACAGCCTGAGAGGAAGGACAGGGAGGGATCTGATTCCTTCACACAACACACACACAACACGAGCGCACACACAGCACGCATACACACACATATAGGTGCTGGAGAGGGACACACAAGCAACTTTTTTAGATTTTAAGAGTAGTATGACCACATTTTCAATATCAAAAACTCTGACATCTTCAGTTTGGAGTGCTTAAACGCGTGCGTAATTAAGAAAAACTGTTATGCACTCCATTCACGACTAACATGTTTTTGAGTTTTGGCCATTTTTAAGCAGCTTTTTTTGCATTTTACCTGAACAAATTCCAATTTAAGCCTCTCTTTACTGTTGGCAGGGTTCAAATTGGTCAAAAATAGGGACACCTGGGACATTTCTTGTATAAAACTTGGACAAATCAATGGTTTTGGATAAATCTAGGCTCAAAAATGGGACTGTACCTGGTAAAAGGGACGTCTGGTCACCCTATAAAGAGACTAAAATCAATTAAATATGTGCAAAGTATTAATAGTAGTAGTTTATGACCTCTTGATTTTTTATTACTTATTTTTTTGTTTTATTTTAACTTGTACATATACATTTTATATAATTATGCCTTATTTGACACCTGTCTCTTGCTATTTTTTTGCTACTTATTTAGAATTTATTATTACCATTTATATTTTTATTTTGTTATTGTATTATATTGTTATGTGTGAGCTACCATGTCCAAATAATTTCCCTTGTGGATCAATAAAGCTTGTCTAAGTCTAAGTAGGTCTATCTCTGAAGCACATTCTAATTTTTTGTTTTCAGATAATCAAATCTAAATATTTAAATCAGATATTTAATGTACCTCATTCATTAAACAGTAATGAAAGGTTTTAAAGTTAAAATTTCACTGATGTAAATTAGTAATGAAACGGAGTGAAACTTGTCATTTACGTTCATGTGTTTGCAGCGCCATCTACTGGAATACACGCACTTTTTTTTTTCCTTTTTTGTTTTTTACCATATTTTATTTTCATTGCACCTCTTAAAACACCCATGCACCAAAGCACAAAAATAAATACGTTTAAATATATTTGAAATGTAATTACCAAAAAGGCAACATGTCACATCACCGACATTCACTTAGTCTTACGCTTTTCACCAAAAACATCATCACAACACTCTGGTTTAAACCTCTTTAACATGAAACACATTTGAAACCACAGATGTAGATCTGGTTGTATTATACCTGAAAAGGGAGAAACACCTCACCAAGTTTTACACTCAGAGGATCCAGTACACTTTTTCATATCCAACTTGGTTTAGAAAAATACCAAAATACAGAACATTGAAAGTTTTCTGACATACTAAAATAAGCCCAGACTCCAGTGGTTATAATAAATGTAGAATATGTAAATGGTTCTTTATGGCATGAAACCACAAATATATAACACATAAATAATGTTTTTTAAACGCAGAGCCACAATAATTCTCTAATGTACAATACCAAAAAAGTCAAAAGTTTGGACTCACCTTCTCATCTTTGATAAAGTGGCTAATTTGAGGATTTTTTTTTTTTAAACTTTGTATTTCTTTGCTACATCATTACCTACATTTGATGTTTTTTGTTTGTATATAAAATGTCAAAAGTAGTAAACATAGAAAATAGGGGTGTAACGATATCCAAGTCTCACGATACGATATTGTCAAGGTATGAACCTCATTGTACAATAAATAAATAACAAAATAAGAACAAAATCCAAATCTCTCGGTACGATATTTTCACAATATACATCTCATGGTACGATATTTATTGTGATATTTTGTGGAGACTATGAACAAAACTGTTAATATTCTACTTTTTCCTCTTAAAATGCCTTGACAAAACATAATCCAAAGAACTAAGACTTAACAGTGCTTAGAACTGTTATTTCTTCTTATAATCTACACTGAAATGAAGCAAAAGATCATGGTCTATGTCAGACATGTCAAACTCAGGCCCGGGGGCCAAATTTGGCCGGCGATATAATTATATTTGGCTAGCGAGATCATATCAAATATGTATTAGAGCTGCCCGCCAGCTACAGATAGACTACAAAGACATTACTTATTTAAAATGTTTGACACCCTTGGTCTTTGTAGTTCCCTCTGTCTTTGCTGCTATTGTTGCACCATAACTCTTCATTTAAGCAAACAGACTTGTAATTTAATATATTGTGATGGTCCATGATATTATTGTGGGAACTTTGACGATACAATATCACGGTTACTCTTATTATACGGTTACTGTTACATCCCTAATAGAAAATAAACACTGAATGAGAAGGCGAGTCCAAACTTTTGACTGGTGGTGCATGTAATTGATCATTTCTTTATCATTGAACTATGCTGCAGTTAATTAATCAGAATAATGCAAAGGCAGTTTAACTTAACATTCCACCACTGTAAACAGTACACTCTATAAAACATCTGCTAAACAACTGATTAAGTCCAGAAACTAAGGCCAAATATCACCTTTACAACATAAAACTGTAATTTCATAAAAAATACATCACACTACTAAGACCAAAAAAATAGTCACAGATCTCCACTTAGCACAGATTAAAAGTACATCGTGTAACTTTTTGGTTGGGGGTCTGTCACCTCCTTGTTTCTGTGGAGATGTGATTGATCTGCCTGCAAAGTTCCACAGTATGGCATTAAACAGCTCTATCTTACATTAAAAAAACAACAACAAAAAAACAAAAAACTAGAAAAACAGGCATTCTGACTGATCTGACCTGTAACTTGGTCTGGTTTGGTCTCCACGAAGATAGAAAGGTTTAATGCCATACTGTGAAACATTCCAGACAAACCAACAGACCCTCCACCAAGAAAACTTACAGAAATCACCTTTAAGACTCTATAATAATACTGAAAACTAAAGACGTCAGGCGTTTTTAAAGAAAGTGTCCTCTATGACCTCCGTGAACCTTTCTTTCATCTGCTGACGAAAGCTGGCGTACCACTCCAGCAGCCTCCTCCTGCGATCCACCTTCTGCTCCTGACTCATCCCTCTCTCCCGTTCCAAGATGGCGGGCAGCTCCTTCCAGTCGCTGATGAATATAAATGGAGCCCCGGCAGCTTTGAGGAGACGCAGGGGAGAGGTGGACCCGGCCGCACATGTCCCTGGGGTCTGGACGTCTTCTACCACTGGCACCGAGCCGTAAGAGCAGGCCTCGTAGATACGGTAGCACTCAGTATTGAATCCTACCGGGCAGAGGGTGAGCTCACTTTGGGCAAGCGCCGTCTGGTACCGCCGCAGACTGTCTGAAGTTTCCTGAGGGAGCCACCTGATGTATACAAAAAACAAAAACAAACATTTAAAAAGGTCCTATATTACGCAAAATGTACTCTTGTGAGCTTTAAGCCATGTTATAATGTTGTTATCTCATCAAAAACAGACGTGGAGTTGTGTTTTGTTTCATTTTCTTTTTAAGTCTCATCTTAAGACACACTTTTATTTATTTATTATTTGGCTTTTAATACCATGTGAGTTGTGTGGTCCTCTGTGTCTTTCATTATTTTATTTTATTTCTTTTTTATTATTATTATTTAATTATTATTTTAATTATTAAATTCTATTAAATTATTTTTTATTAGTTTATTTTATTTTACTTTGTTTATTTAATTGTTTTATTTAGTTTTTTTATTAATACTTTTTTTGCATTTATTTATTTAGTACTGCTCTTATGTATTGATTTTATTATTATTGTTTTATTTATTGATTCTATTAATTTCCTCATGGTTGGAACATAGTTTTGCTGTTTGTTTGTTTTTTTGTTTTTTTTTTAAGTAAAATGTTTTATACTGCTATGTAAAGCACTTTGGAAACTGTATTGTTTATAAAATGTGCTATACAAATAAAGTTGGATTGGATTGGATTTTTTTGACTAACCCTTTATTATTAGTCTGTCTACATTACCAAAACTCAGAATGCTCTGTTCCAACTTGTGATGTCATGAAGTGGCAGTTGTCAACTTAACAGCTCCTTTAGTTCAGTAAAGATTGGCAGTCCCAGTGCTGAAATTATCCAAATGATTCTAGTGAAGGTGTATGGGGTTTAAAAACATAGTGGAGTGTTTTCTGTTTGAGAAGAACTCAGCCTAAATATGCAGGGTTTGTGTGTTAAACATGTGTGAATAAAACAAAACACAACTCCAGGTCTGTTTGAGATGAGAAAATGACATTATAACATAAATCAGAAAACAGTGAATATACAGTACCAGTCAAACGTTTTAGAACACGCTAATTTTTCCAGTTATTTATTGCAGTTCAAGTCGTGCGAGTCCAATTAAGAGCTTGAAATGGTACAAAGGTAAGAACTGAACAGACAGAGGTAAAAAAGATAAAAGATACAAAACACAAGTCCAAGCTGGTAAAGCTTGAAAACCTGGAGTGTCCAGCACAGTCTCCAGACTTAAACCCCATCGAGCTGGATTGGGGTGAACTGGACAGAAGAGTGAAGCAACCTACAAGTGCCACACATTTATGGAAACTTCTGCAACAGACTTGGGAAGAACTTTAAGAAGAATATTTGATTTCTATTGTAAAAAGAACGAGCTACGAGTGTGTTCAGCTGTTATATCTGCCAAAGGTGGACACTTTCATGAATCAAAAGTTTAGAATACATTTTGGTCAACAGTAAACCATAAAAAACTAGAAAAAGCACGGTGTTCTAAAACTTTTGACCGGTAGTGTAGATCCTTTCACTTCACACAGACGAGCATTTAGAGATAATTAAAAACAACTTACTTTTCACGGGCAGAGGTAATGCATTCTTTGTCCAAGCCAGACTCAGACAGAACCTGCAGAAGGGTTTCTCTGGAGGAATTTTTGTAAACAGTTCCTAAGAAATTGCAGCTGTACGGTCTGTTTGAAGTGATCAGCTGGGCGTTCGGTCTAACCAAAGGAAATTGCCTGTATCTAGAAAAAGAAAACTTTAATTACATATTGCATTGTGTTTTAGAATGCATTACTGTAAGTTGTACTTAAATAAAAATTGTAGGTATCTTTACTTAAGTACAATTTAAATGGAATGGAATTAAATGGAAACTTTTTACTTTTACTTCACTACATTTTTGAACAGGACTGAAAAGTAAAAGTATTTTTTATTATTCTCTGAGACCTGCTGAAAAGGCGGAGGGTTTATTTTTAACACGTTCACAATCTGAGCAAAAAAAATATACAAATCAGCTAGGAAAACAGCTAGGAAAACCAGCTACAAAGGGGAAAAAATTATTCAATTCAACTGTTTCTATTGAACAATATTCAGAAAAAATGTCTATTAAAAATCAGATACATTTAAAGCCTTATCTGACCTAAAAAATCCGTGTGAAATACTTTTACTCTTTAATAACATTCAAGTGCACTATGTAACTTCTAAGATAGAGGGTCCACTACCTGTTTGTCTCCATGGAGATTTTTTGCCTGGAGTGTTCCACAGTAAGGGCATTAAACATACCTCCCTTGCATTTGTTCAATTTCAGCTGTTTTTATAGTTCAAAAAAACTTTAAAAAACATAAACTCTTACCATGTGCAGGCTTGCTTCTCCATAGATCTGACCATTAACCTGTCTCCATTGTGATTACCAAGTTTATTTCCATACTGTGGAATAACCAAGACAAAACAGTAATACCTCCATGGAGACAAGCAGGTGGCAGACCCTCCGCCAAAAAAGTTACAAAGTGCACCTTTAAAACAGGTACTTTAATATTTTGACTTTCATGTGATAATTTTACTTGAGTATTTTTTTATCTGTACTTCTACTTAAGTAACACAACTGAGTACTTCTTCCACCACTGAGTCCTGCTTAAATGTGACCTACGTTGCAACACCAAGGGGCCACTGGAAGACGTCCTTGTCGTTCACCCAGGGGCTGTCATACACCACAAACAGGAGATCGATGAAGCCTCCATTTCTCTTCAAATACGGGGCTATCCAGTCATTGTTGCACTGCTCGTTCCCCAGCAGGACCACAGCTGCATGAGACACAGTGCGGGAGTGGACCAGAGCCTGGACGTGCTCTAACCACCGTGTGGAGTACGAGACTTTTTGTTGTTCACGGCCGTTCAGAACCAAAACCACGCTGTTCATATCCAACGGGACGTGACCCTGGACTACAGCAGGTCCAGTGTAGAAACTAGAGGAGAAAAAACATCACAAGAAGTAAATTATTAAAGGTGTAACTTTTTAGTTGATGGTCCATCACCTGCTTGTTTCAATGAATATGTCAGTACTCTGTCTGGAATGTTCCACAGTATGACATTAAACAGCTCGACTTCACATGTATTCAATTACAGGTGGTTTTATAGCTCAAAATACCTAGAAAAACAGGCATTCTGACTGTGAGCGGGGTCGCCTCTCCACAAGCATTTGACAGACCAAAAAACGTACACAATGAACCTTTAAGCAATTTCATAAGCAATATTTCAGTGCTCTACAGCAGAAGAAAAATTCTGTCAACTGGACAAAACTTGTTTGAGTGGAGACGTTTCACAGCTCATCAATGCTACTTCTTCAGTTCTGATCAAATTCTCGGTAGACACTGCCTTATATTTGCCTGAAGTGAGGAGCCAACTACACTGAAACTAACAAACATACTGTATTTTGTCAGAAAGGCAGATATAAGTGTCCAGTGTGCACCGACAATTTGACCAGGGCTGCATCTCAGTTCTCTTTCCTCGCTTCCTTCTTCTTGATTCCTCTCCTCGATCCTCCATTTTTCAGCTGTCAATCAAATGTGTCATATTAAGTGCTGTCCCAACGAAAACCATGAAAGGAAGGAGTAAACCTGAGGAAGGCTTCAGGAGCAGCTACCATAAAATAATCAAACTTCATTGGTCTCACTGAAGAGTTTATATCCTCTCTCCTTCTTGTGTCCCTTCTGTGGGTGGGATTTCCTCACCCATTTCCTGCAGAATCGAGAAGGAAGCGAGGAAAAGAGAAATCCTCTTGTATATAACAGTGTTTAATGTATTTATAATACGATATTTGCTTTTTACTTGCTGTACATACATTTATATAATTTATGTCTTACTGTATTGATACCATTCTCTTACTATTTTTCTTGCTACTTATTTAGAAGTTTATTACATTTTTTTTTTTATATTACAGTGTAAAAGATTCTGTGTTATTGTAATGTAATATGATGTGTGAGCTACTGTGTCCAAGTCATTTCCTTTGTGGATCAATAAAGTCTAATTGAGTTGAGGCCCAGAACTTGGAAAAGCTGTGTAACATCTCCTCTGAAACAACTTTTGTCCAGTTGACAAAATTGAATTTTTCTTTCGGATTACACATACATTTCATTGCTCTATTTCTTACCTGTAATCCACTTTTCCACACTGCAGTTCCCCTTCTCTCCATTGAGCTATTTTGTCTGTAGGGTTGAGCGGTCCTTCTAAAATATGCTCCCAAAGGTAAAGTCCTACAGGCAGATCACACATAATATATTAACAACCACATTATTAGTAAGTTATATGATAGCATTAGCTAATAAAATATACTGTATTATTAGCTAATAAATATAAAATACACAGTGTTGGCAAGGTTACTAAAATGTATGCCCCTACAGATTACAGATTACATACACCAAAATGTAGTTTGTAACGGAATCCATTAAATTTCTTAAAGTGAGTAACATAATCTGAATACTTTGGATTACTTGATTTGCTGTAGAGAAGCAAAGATGAGGAAATCTTCACATAAGAAGTTTTGTCTGATAAAAGACAATAAAAAAGCCCAGCCTTTACTCAACTAAATCAAAAATATTATTGATAGAAAAGGAGAAAACACGTCCACGCAGCATGATTTAGTCCTGTTTTTTAGTCCTGGTTTAGACCTGGTTTTAGTCCTGGTTTAGTCCTGATTTAGACCTGGTTTTAGTCCTGGTTTTAGCCCCGGTTTAGACCTGGTTTAATCCTGGCTTAGACCTGTTTTAAGATCTGGTTTAGTCCTGGTTTAGACCTGGTTTTAGTCCTGGTTTAGCCCAAAATGTGAAAACAGGAAAATCCTGCTGTGTAATCCATTTATTTCAACAAAGTAACTGTAATCCAATTACTACTCACTGAAACAGTAACTGTAACTGAATACAGTTACTCATAATTTGTACTCTGATTACGTAACTCCGGTACATGTAATCTGTTACTCCCCAACACTGAAAATACAATTATGTCCTCTCAATTCAGATGCACATCACTGCTAAATAAAATGATACTGACTGATTCATATTAAAATCACGCACCTATAGCAGCTTTCCCCCAGATTTGCACCTTGTGTCTCTTAGGTTTATTTTTGTTGATCTTGTTTTTGTCCAGATATTGTTTGAAGGCCTCTCTCTTTTTGTTCAGAGCTGAGTTGTAGTCCACCTGTTCATTCTCCCACGGATTCCACTCATCCGCAATGACCGGGGCCGCTCCCCCATCTCTAACGCCATCTGTACGAATATTAACATTTTACATATTATATTATATCACATCATACATAATAATAAAAATGTTTCTGAGATAAATATAATAACAAAATACCGAGCGGTGCGTTGTCTTTGTTTACCACTCGGTGAACACGGGATATTGCTTTGGTACTAAAGAACACGTTGTATGCAGCATAAAGTGAAAATGCTACATAAGCAAAAATGATAAGAAGAAAAAGTTTTCTTTTTGGTATTTTCATGTTGTTTTATATTTAAATCTCAGGTTACCATTTTGCAGCTCGCCTTCATTTCTGTCATAAGGACCCTTGTTTACATCACGTGGAGCCGCAGACTTAAAGCTGCCCGTAAATATGCCTGTAAGAAAATTACACAATAAAATACGTATTTGGGTTTCACGCGTGTCACATGACGAGCTGGACTCTGTGATATGTGTATGTCTGTTTATAGTGGAGTATTCTTTATCATTCTGGACAGTGACCCGGAGACTGGTGCTGTTCTGTTTGGAAAATACGAGCAGGACATTTTTGTAGAGCCCCGGACAAAGAGGAGGAGCCGCTTCCGCTCACAGCGCTGAAACACTCCGCACGGTCTGAGCACGCAAGGTCGTGTCCCCTTTAGTGGGGTTTTGTACATCTTATTTGGGCAAAAATGTTGTCCAGAGCCGCTCGTTACGGGTCGCTTCCTCCGCACACGCAGGCAGTAAAAAATGGTCTTAAAAAGTTGACATTTGGAGCAAAGGACGCGGGTCTGGCGGGTAAGGACGTGTTATTGTGCTAACAGCTAAATGCTAACGCTGAGAGAAGCCTGAGTTTAACTCTGGGATCTTTAAAAACACTTCATGAGATAACTTCATTAACGCTTCCTATTAAGATCAATTTATAAAGTCCGCTTTAAAGTCTTCTAAGACACATTTTAATGCATCTGTTTTAATCACAGCTGTGCTAATGATTGAATCCGCGACTATTGATTATTTTATCTACACAGAATGTAAGTGTCAACTCTCAAATCTTTGCATAAATGGTTCACAGGTGTAGGAATCCGGCTGGCCCACACAGACCTCAAGATCCCTGATTTCTCAGACTACCGTCGGCCTGATGTTCAAGATCCAAGCAAGCCGTCCCAGGGCAGCAGTGAATCTAGAAGAACCTTCTCTTACGTCCTCACCGGAGCCACCACTGTGGTCGGTCTGTATTCTGCCAAAACCGTGGTCTCCCAGTTTGTGTCGTCTATGAGCGCTTCAGCTGATGTTTTGGCCTTGTCTAAAATTGAGATCAAGTTGACCGACATCCCTGAGGGTAAAAACATGACCTTCAAATGGAGAGGGAAGCCTCTGTTTGTTCGTCACAGAACAGATAAGGAGATCGCTGCAGAAGCTGCTGTAAACCTGGCAGAGCTGCGTGACCCTGAGCATGACAAGGACCGAGCCTCAAACCCTCGGTGGGTGATTGTTCTTGGCGTGTGCACCCACTTGGGCTGTGTGCCCATCGCCAACGCCGGAGACTTTGGAGGGTACTACTGTCCGTGCCATGGCTCTCATTACGACGCGTCTGGAAGAATCCGAAAAGGACCTGCTCCTCTTAATCTTGAGGTTCCTTACTATGAATACCCTGATGATGACACTGTGGTTGTGGGATAATCTATTTTTACCCCTCTTCTTAAACGTAGGTTTTTAAGTAACTGAAAGGCTGGGTGAGCGTTTAAATGTATCATTAAAGAGCTATTTCAAACCATTTTGGCTACTTTCTTCTACATTTTTTCTCATCTTGTGATTTCTCTGCATTAATTAATACACCCTGTATTAATACACCTTACACCAAAAAATCCACTTTTCTACAGACCTACAGCAAATAATACACACACAAGGCAGAGATTTACATGATTTGTGTTTTTTGTTTGTTAAACAATCAAGACATACTTGTAGTAGGCCCAAATGCATTTGACATTTCCAGTAAGCGTATAATAGCATGCTATACAGATGAATAAACACTTAGACACTGGAGAAAATTAAATGCACATTTCTTTACCAGATTGCATTTTATACACAAGAATGACAGCCATAAAATGTGTCTGTAGATATTATAAAATAACATTTAATTTTAAGTATTTCCATTTAAATACATCATTTCAAAGACAGTTTGTAAAGTCTGTCATAATTTGGTTCTCTTGTCATGTTTGTGAACGTTCTCTTGGCTGTTCTTTGGTTCGGATTAGTCCACATAGTGCACTTCGGCCTGCAGCTCCTTTGTGACGTATCCAAGAAGAGCAGCAGTAACTTGATGCTTCAGATTTGTGTTCCCCATCACCAGCGCTGTTAACTGTGCCAACTCTGTCCAATGAATTTCTCCAAGAATAGCCATGATATCATCATAGAGTTTCTGCTGCTGCTGAGGGCTCAGCTCCATGATAATCTGAGGCAAAGGCTTGAACTGTCCACTGGTCATCCAACATCCCAAAAGACCCCCCACAGCGCCACCTATCACAACAACGCAGTATTTTTAGAAACAGCACAACAAGCAATGGGCCTTAGAAGCAAAACTAAAAGAGTAACCGTATAACAGATTACATACTCACCGACTGCAATGCCAAGAGGACCCCCGACCAGCCCTCCTGCAAAGGCCAGTCCACCTGCTGCTGCTGCCCCCTTTCCAGAGCCCTTCACTGTATTTTTGACTTGCTGATTGGCCGACAGCTCACAGCACAGCTTCATAACATCATCGATGCGATGAGACATTCTGTACAATTTATTAAACAGTTATTATTATCATGTATATAGACTGTATATAAAATGTTAAAACCATTCAGAGTTATTTTAAAAATGACCCTCAGTTCAAACTGAATTTGTTTTCTGAGTCCTTAGGAGCATAAACAAATGGCTGGATTCTTTGTGAAGCTGGGGCTCTGGAGTTTTGGTTTCTATTCTCATTGTAATAGGAATAAGCTCTACACAGAGGAATGTCAGATTTCATATTCCGCATGAATGATTTGGTAATTAAAAAACAGGTACAGCTGGTTTCTCTGGGGATGATCTTACAGATATATTGAGCATTTGTTTGGTCTTGACAAAAACAGAAGCATATCTTAGAAAAAAAATTGATCCAGGAACTTGTAATTAGGAAAAAAAAAAAAAAAAAAAGTCCAGTGGGTAATTTTTGTTTATTATTTGTGAATTTGAAGTACAAACTTGTCCAGATGCTTAGAATATCTGATTTGACTGAAACAGGTTTCACATTTCCATTTAGGATTTACATGTCCTGATAGTTTACACTGATAGTTCCCTTTTATCAGAGGGTGGACAAACAGAAATTAATCAAGAAAACATACTAATGCTGCACAAATGTTTATTACAACATAACACTGGCAACAGCATCATTAAACATCATTAATAAGCAGTGAGTAAACATGTTTTAGAGCAGCCTACCTGTCTGTGTCAGCGACGTTTATGGCATTGGTCAGATAATTTTAATTTATTTAGATTAAAAGCTAAAATATGAACCAAAAACACGTTATTTATCCCATGGAAGTATAATAAGATCTTGAGTCATCCCCGCTTTTCTCCTCTCCTGAACCTTGCACCATCCACCTGATTTCTGAGCCTATAGCGCAGTGCTTGATGGGAGACAAATGCTGCGTTCACGTACAGTAGTAGATCAAAGTACAACGTCGATTTGCCACGAGATAAAAGTCAAAATTACGCATTTGGCTTTACAGACTGCACATAGCAACAAGTAATGCGCTATGCTGTGGATGAAAAGATAAAATGTAAATGCAGCTACCTCGTTTACCAGTGTAGTACTCACATTTCTTATAACTCTTAAATGCGACAAATACATCCAATGAGAGCCGGGATAAGTGAGGGTATGGCTCTGGGAGGATTGTACACTATTAAAGTCTGTATTTTCAGTAGAGTTAGTTTTTATTACATTTCCAGTCAAGAGGTTTTCTTTAATAACAGCGCTCTGTCATCAGGAGTGAAACGTTATTCATTAATCAGCGATTGTTTTCATAGCTGCAGGAAACGGACTCAAATCGGAAGCACAATTCTCAACTTTTCAAAACAATATTCAGCTCTGGGAATTTTATTTGTAGACAAAAGAATAATAATAAATAAATAAACAGATGAATGCGCCAATTAAAGGGAATATAATTACACAAAATTGACTCTAGTGAGCTTTCTACATGTTATAATGTTGTTACCTCCTCAAAAAACATACCTGGAGTTGTGTTTTTATCCTGCATTAATAGTCTATCTACAAGTCCAAAGTTCAAAATGCTCAATTCTACCTTGTGATGTCATGAAGCAGTAGTTTTCAAGTTAACTTCTACCTTTTATCTTTAGTTCAGTAGAGACTGGCAATTCCAGGTTCGAAGTATGCAAATGATTCTCGTGAAGGTGTGTGGAGTTTAAAGACGCAATGGAGCACTTCCTGACACAGAATGTTTTGTGTTTGAGAGAAGAACTGCATTTTTGTGGTAAGCATGCATGAATGAAACAAAACTCCATGTACTGTATGTTTGTGATGAGGAAACAACATTTAAACAGAATGATCAGAATGGAATTTTTATTTACTTAATTTTCTATTTTATTTTTACTTGTACATATATTCATCCGTACATTTCCTTCCACTTACCCGGGGCTGGGTCACGGGGGCAGCAGTCTAAGCAGCACTTGTACATATACATTTATATAATTATGCCTTACTTGAGACCTGTCTCTTGCTTTTTCTTTTTACTCTCTTTAAATAGTGTAGATGCTTTTAAAAAGGAACTAAAAACGTTCCTCTTTGAAAAAGCATTACTGCTGCCTTAGGTTTAGAGCTGCTAAGACTGATTTTTATCTTTTGTATGTGAAGCATTTTGTGACCGATGTCTGTGAAAAGAGCTATATAAATACACTTTATTTATTTACTTACTTTTTTGGTTACTTATTTAGATGTATTAAACTTAGACTTAGACTCAGACAAACCTTATTGATCCACAAAGGAAATGATATAGGGTTATCTGTTACGTAAGTGTGAGTTGTTGTACAGTTGTAGGGAGTATTGTCTGTTACATAAGGGTGAGTTGTTGTACAGTTGTAGGGAGTATTATCTGTTACATAAGGGTGAGTTGTTGTACAGTTGTAGGGAGTATGATCTGTTACATAAGGGTGAATTGTTGTACAGTTGTAGGGAGTATTATCTGTTACATAAGGCTGAGTTGTTGTACAGTTGTAGGGAGTATTATCTGTTACATAAGAGTGAGTTGTTGTACAGTTGTAGGGAGTATTATCTGTTACATAAGGGAGAGTTGTACAGTTGTAGGGAGTATGATCTGTTACATAAAGGTGAGTTGTTGTACAGTTGTAGGGAGTATTATCTGTTACATAAGTGTGAGTTGTTGTACAGTTGTAGGGAGTATTATCTGTTACATAAGGCTGAGTTGTTGTACAGTTGTAGGGAGTATTATCTGCTACATAAGGTGAGTTGTTGTACAGTTGTAGGGAGTATTATCTGTTACATAAGAACGAGTTGTTGTACAGTTGTAGGTAGTATTATCTGTTACATAAGGGTGAATTGTTTTTCAGTTATAGGGAGTATTATCTATTAGTTGTTTTACAGTTGTAGGGAGCATTATCTGTTATATAAGGGTGAGTTGTTGTACAGTTGTAGGGAGTATTATAGTATGAATGCAGTCCTGTATCTCTCACTGTTTGAGCAGAGCTGTAGGAGCCTGTTGGAGAACTATTATTATTATTAGTAGTAGTAGTAGTAGTAGTAGTAGTAGTAGTAGCAGTAGTAGTAGTAGTAGTAGTAGTAGTAGTACCATTTCTATTTTTTACTATTTATTAGTATAATATATTGATGATGATGTGTGAAATTTCCCTTGTGGATCAGTAAAGTTTGTCTAAGTCTAAAACAGCCATGGAAATTGATCTTAAACTCTTAAACCGGGCCCTTTAAGTCTTTTATTTTGAAAGTCACACCGGAACCACATTTGTGTCCTCCGCACTTTACGGATATTTTTCTGAGGGTGCATGGCGTACCAGCGACAGGCGAGGATTACTGATAACCTGATTTCTTACATCCGTGGATTTACATTTTGGTAATGAGGCAGAGATCCTGAAATGAGCGTGTGAAATGCGATCACTTCCGGAACTGTGGACAGCACTTTCTGGTCCATTGATGATCACGGGCAGAACGGCGCTCAGGAGTAGCTGCTTCTGCATTCATAAACATTTCTTTAGGACTCACTACAACCCCTGAGCTTTGCATCTCTCAAAAAACACTGTCTCTTCGTCTTGTAAGTGGGGCGTGCAATGGAGGAAAAGTGCAAAATGAAAGGAGAACACTTTGATGGAGTTGTCAGACTCAGAGAAGAGCACGAAAAGGTAATTTGAGCGGATGACATTTTGCAAAAGGCTCCGTAAACATGCTGCGCGAAAGGGTGACGCACTGACCACGAGGGCGACGTGCACGCAGCCTCAACTAAAGCAGAAGTTTTATCAGCATTTTTTAAAAAATAAACTAACATTTTACACTTTTTTTTAAATTGCATTTCCAGCCACCTTGTACCAGCTTTTGTTTTCAGTTTCCGAAGCTTGCGTCCAATTGTTCCAGAAGCTTCCTCTTTTGCAACCACATGTTCAGACCTGTTAGCGTCCTATTTTCGCTTGTTTTTCTTAGTTTGATCCACTTTTTCTAGTTTTTATCTAATGCAAACTGGACTCACACTTGCAGGATAGGATTTTGCACGGTTGTAGGTTTATGTTTTAACAAAATATGAGCGAAATGAAGCAGTTTGCCCACTCTGTTGTTAGCTCAGGTCTGTGGAAGAACGCCCCCTGGGACTGGGAAGTGGGTCTGAATTGTCCAACCCTTTCTAAGTAGTTCACTATGGGATTTCTGAATTATACTTATTATGATGAATAACTCAAAATTGATTAATTACAGGACTATTAACACTGGTGCCTAACTCCAGTGGTGCACTAATAATTGGATAAAGGTTTATTTTGTATAGGTATCTAACGTAGGGTGACCAGATGTCCCTCTTTATTTATTTAGAAATGTATTTATTTATTCATTTAGAAATTTATTTATTTAGAAATGTCCCAGGTGTCCCTAATTTTAACCAATTTAATCTAAACCAGGACTAAAACAGAGCTATCACAATGTTTGACATTAACGAGGAGCATAAATTGTCATTTGTTTGGCCAAAAAACAGAAATCCGTGTTTGCAAATGACCATAAAGTAAAAAATGCAGTGACGAAAGCCTCTAAGATGATGACTGACTCAAGAATGGACAATGTTACACGCACTTTTCACAATTTTATTTATACCAATCATCCCAGCCACGGTGTGTCCCAGTTTAGGATCTGGTCACCCTAATCTAACTGTACTCCATCGAAGGCTTGCACACTTTCTTATATCTTATATTTTTGTTTTTGTAAATGTAGCTCACCAGAGGAAAAAGGTTGGAGACCGCTGCAATAAGATGTCATTCAGGTTGCAGTCGGGGGGGCAAGACATCCCTATTTTCCTGGGACAGTCCCAGGTTTGCGCCCTGAGTCCCCTATACCAGCAGATGTATACAAAACTAGTGATTTGTCCCAGTTTTAAACAAGAAATATCCCAGGTGTCCCTTTTTTTTGGACCAATTTGTTACCCTCAAACACTAAAGCAGTAATTTGTTTAACTAAAATACAGAAAACCATGCTTGAAAATGACCATAAAGCAAAAGATGCACCAACAGAAGTCCTTCAGATTATGACGGACGCACAAATGAGTCGAGAATGGACAATTATATGCACTCTTTTCCCAGTTGTATTTATACAAACCATCCCAACTCGGCTGTGTCCCAGTTTTGAATATTGAAAATCTGGTCACCCTAAATTGCAGTGATAGAAATACTTGAATTGGCAGTGAAAAATACTGCACATAATTATCTGGGCCACTTCAGAAGTAGAAAAAAAATGCTCTAGAATTTTTTTTAAGCTTTGTTGACACACATAGATCTGCAGGATGCACCAGTGGTAGGTTACTTACATTACTTAGCTGTCAACATTTTCATTTCCATAACAAATCCACAACAATAACAATAACCCAGTGCTTATATTTAGAAACTGGGCAAGTGGAGCAGATTTACAATGAATTTACGACCTCAGACAGAAACTCAACAAGGCCGGTCACGCGTTGTTTGGCCAGTTGTAGTTTCTGTCAGAGGTTGTAAATTCATTAGGAATCTGCGCCACTTGCCCAGTTTCTAAATATATACTCTGGGGTGTTGTTATTGTTTTGGATTTGTTATGAAAGTGAGAATGTTGACAGCTAAGTTATGTAAGTAAGCGTACCGCCGGTGCAGCCTGCAGAGCTAAGTGTGCCAACAACAAAGCTCAAAAAAGTCTGGATCTTTTATTATTTCTTCTCATTATTTCTCCTTCTGAATTGGCTCAGTTGATCATGGGCAGCACTTTTTTTAATGCCAATTCTAGTATTCCTGTCACTGTAATAGATATAACTTTTAATTTTCTTGTGATCAGTGTTGGGAAGTAACTAAATACATGTACAGAGAATACATTTTCTGTATACTCATTTAGAGTAACTTTGTTCTGGTAAAAGGGATGTAACAATAACCGAAATATCGTGATATCGTATCGTCAAAGTTCTGACAATAATATCATGGACCATCACAATATATTGAATTACAAGTCTCTTTGCTTAAATTCATTGTTATGGTGCAGCAATAGCTAAAAAAAGACAGAGGGAACTACATAGACCATGATCCTTTGCTCCATTTCAGTGCAGACTACAAGAAGAAATAACAGTTCTAACACTTTTAAGTCTTAGTTCTTTGGATTAAGTCTTGTCAAGGCATTTTAAGAGGAAAAAGAAGCATATTAACGGTTTTAGCTGTTTAGCCTCCACAAAATATCGCAATAAATGTCATACCGTGAGATGTATATCGTGAAAATATCAAATATTGTACCTTGAATATTGTTACATCTCTAGTCATGCACCTCCCCACCATATCGTGAGCTTTCCTACGATATCGCAATAAATATCTTACCATGATGATATTGTATCGTGAGACTTGGATATCGTTAAACCCTATCTTGTACATTTAGTAATATTCAGAATACAGCTACTTTCTAAAATCAGATGAATATATTGTAGTACTTCACAAAATGTAAGCTCCAGGCAAGATTGAATTAGTGAGGAAAATTATAAAACTCATCTCTCGCGGTGCAGGCATTTGACAGTTTTTGTTCTCCAGTGAGTGATAAGAAAAGCAGAACAAACTGTGAAAGAAATTCAAAGTTATTTTTAATCCTATGTTGCGTTTTTACACTGTATTTTGAACGCCACTCAATGTAAAAGTTGTAAATATTCAGAATACAGTACTCTGATTGGACCATGTAACAGAATACTTTACAAAATACAGTTTAATGCAGGTGTTCAATGTTCTGTAACTAAATTAGGACTGTTATAAGACTTTGCATTTTGATCTACAGATCTAAATTTAATGGTGTTGTGGCTTAGAAAAGTCCGTCTATCTTAAAGTCTCGCTGTACTGAACTTGAGACCAAGTCCTTTCTCTCCAAATGTGTTTCTCGATGTGTTCCTCTGTGAAAAAACTTTGGACATCCCTGTTTTAGAGTAATATAAAAGTCTTTATGTGTTTTTATGACATGTTTTGACCTGCAGCCGTCTGAGAGAGGGAGATTTGACTCTTCACATAAAAGCGTTTGTCTCACATAAGCCTGTCACGATAATTAGTATATTGCCTTATGGTATTGTTCTTTTGGGTTCAATATTTATCTTGTGTGCATTTTCTTTAGCACTACTGGGGAATGTTTTGTGATTATTTTTGGCCATATTATAAGATTTAAGCTGTAGACTGTTGATTTAGAACTTTCCATGAGGCAAACTAAATACTAAACTGTTTCATTCTGCTTTTTATTTATTGCAGCTCATATTTTTAGAATAGTGGTTTGTGGTATCATCTATATTTACTTATAGAACTTCAAAATTTGTTCTCATGACAGGTAGGGATGGGACGAGATACAATTTCCACAAGACAAGACAAGGCACGAGATTGGATCTACGAAAACGAGACAAGACAAGATTTTGACATTATTAGGCTATAATAAATACTTTCAGCATTTCAGTTCCTAATTTTTAGCCTCACCATTTTTGATTAACTTTATTTAATAATTCTGACTACACATCATCAAAAAATGTAAAAAACAGAACTGAAACAAAATCTAGAAAAATAGAATTGGAAAAAAATACTGACTGAAAAAAATATATTGACTGTAATTTTTTCTATCCAAAAGTAAAAACATGATGAAAAAATCTCACAAGATCTTTTTTTTTTTGTGCCAATTTTGTCTCATGAGATCTTGTAGCGTGAGACCTTGTCCCTGTTCCTAATGATGGGCCTATTCTCAATAATCAAAACAAAAGGTGAACTGTGTGTTTGTGATCCAGACTCAATGCGTTGGAGCTTAAATAGTGAATCAATTAATCACAACTAATCAATTATTAAAGGATGTTGACTAATTTAGTAATCGATTCATTGTTAATAATAATAATAACACCACATTGGTTTTATTTTGCGCTTTTCACGGTAAGACAAAGACTCTTCACAATAAAGTAACACTAAAACAAGGACAGGACAGACAAAAACAGTCATGAGGAGCAGTCATGTGCCGGGGCTGTAGGCTGTGAGGAAAAGGTTTGTTTTGGGCAGATTTTTGAAGGTGTTTAGTGAGTCTGAGGTTCTCTTGTTATACACAAACTCCAAGATATGTTACGTGCAGAGAGAAGGCTTTATGACCAATATAATACACCAAAAAGATCCAGAAAATTACGTGAAAAAAGCTGTTTTGTCTGTAAGTGTTCTTTATCTTTATCTGAATGGCCTCGGTTTCGTTTGTCTGGGTCAAATTTAGTAAGAAAAAAATCTTCTCAGGCTTTTTGTAATCTTAATTAAAAAGAATAATCAGTGTCAGTTTTTAGAAGAAATGTGCACCAATTTCTTCTAATATTTTACAGAATTTATTTGAAAACATGTACAGTATTGAACGATCTGAAAGAGCCCTGACCTTGAGTTCATGTGTAAATGTAAATACTGAAGTGAAGTTCTTAATGCTGTGTTTTGTAACAGGTGGTGAAAGACTGTGAACGCCGCATTGACCACTGGTAAGTTATTTCACAAGTTTAATGTTTTTAATGCTTTATGTAACTTTTCTGGTGGAGGGTCTATTACCTGTTTGCCTCCATGGAGTTATTGCTTTGTCTCGATTGTCCTAGTTTGGTGTCAACATTAGAAATTAATTAAATTTATTGTTTGCTTGTTGCTGAGGGAGTGGCGCAGAGAACAATGGACTGAAAGCTGATCCTACTCGACGTGGCAAATATGTTTATTGTGCTACTCGTTGTATTTATTCTCTGCATGTCCTATGTTTAAACTCAAATCTGAAGTCAAAAACACAAAAAAATGTACAAGTCTGTGTGTCTCTTCAGTTTTTTTTAGGGTCATTCCACGCCAAATCTCCAAATGATCCTGCTCGACCGTCTCAGATATGGCTAAAAAACTCTGCTCAAAGCGGGTAGTTGACAAAATATTTTTTAATCTATCAATCAATTAAACTTAATTTATATCAATTATTTCATACAAAAATGTAACACAAAGTTATTTATAGTGATTAAAAACAATCCCACATTTCCTTCCACCCACAGCTGCTCGACCCCACACAACCAAACACCCCAGACACACACACACACAAACACACTAACATGCACAGACACACACATACACACACACACACACACACACGAACATGCACAGACACACACACACACACACACATGCACACACACACACACACATACACACACACGAACATGCACAGACACACACACACACACAAAGATGTACAGACACATGCACAGACACACACACACACAGACACACACAAAGATGCACAGACGCACGCATACACACATACACACAATAACATGCACAGACACACACACATGCAAACATGGACAAACAGCACACACACACACACACACAAAGATGCACAGACACACACAAACATGCACAGACACACACACACACAAACACGCACAGACACACACACACACACACGCTAACATGCTAAAATACATAAAACTACACATAGTAAAATGTGAGGCTGAATAGAGGTGAACCAGTTAATAATACTTTAAATTTATATATAATATTTTCCTATTGGCATGTGTGTAAACCTAGAATTTTTTGAGTCAAATCTGAGATGATCGAACGGGGGCATTCGGAGATTTGGCGTGGAATGACCCTTCATTACACAAACAGCTAACTTTATATTCACTGTTTCTGTAGGAAAAAATTATCTGGGGACTATGAGGCTCTGAATGATCGCCTTAAAACCCTCCCAGACCAACTGTCTTATGACATCATGGTGAGTGCTTATTCTATGCAAAAATATCAATAGTTGTTATGAGAGGTGGAGTAACTTTTTATAAAATTGTACCATACTTTTCGGACTATAAGGTGCACTTAAAATCCTAAAATTTTCTCAAAATTCGACAGTGCGCCTTATAATCCAGTGTGCCTTTTGTGTGAAAATTCAGAGAATTCAACATTATAGATATTGTCCAAACATACAGTACTTCTCTGACAAATTTTCTAACTCTGTACTTGAGTAGTTCTGTCACGATAATCACTATATCGACGTATTGTTCAATATATGAAAGCTTTAACAATATTTTCCAGAGTTAATCCTTATTGCATTGTTTCCCAAAGACTAGTGGGTCACAAGATATTTTTTTGTTGTCGCCTTGTCACAATCTGCATGTAGGTCTGCAATATACAGTTCTGACACATGTTGAAATGTAAATACATGTTTTGTATAATTTCTAATCTTTTTATAGTTATTTTATTGACTGTTTTGTTCCAATATTGCTGGTTCAATTGAATGTTGAAAAGAAAAAGAAATGGGCAACATTTAATGTCCAAATAGGCGACTTATGGATCCTTTTATATCTGGTTCAATTACTGGTTTTCATTTTTTACAACTTGAGTAATACTAATTATTCAGAGACACGATCACTCAGTCAACAATAAAATATCCTCATTAATATTCAAAAATGGTCAAATGATCCACCTTTTATTTTGTGATTTGCGAATAATGTTTGTTGACTTTTCGCAAAGGTTTATGACTTTCAAAATATGGGTCCCCAGGAAAACAAAGTTTGGGAAACACTGCCTTATTGTGTGTACATTTTCTTCTCTCTACTGGAAAATTTCTGGTTATTTTTTGTCTTTAAGATGAGATTTTGAATTAATAACTCATTAAAGACGTAAAATAAGAACTGACGTATTTCATTATGCCTTTTATTTATTGCAGCTCATGATTTCTTTCTTTTTGAATAGTTTTTGCGGTTTAAATTTGCTCTTGGGTTATTTATACGTTCACCCTTACTTGAACAACATATTTTAAATGTAATGTAACAGTACTATTTTTAAGTTTGGACAGTTATGTGTTAACATTTTGTCTTTCAGTCCAGACAGTTCCTCTTACTTACATTGCCGTTTCCTCAAATAATGTCGTGCTCTTACTCATCTTCTAGACCACTATTTTTGCACTTCTTCTGCTTGAGTAATATTATTCTGAAGCAACTTTTGTGCAGTTTTGGTTACTCACCTCTAGTATTAATGGTGTACGTGCTTTTTCATGAACGTCTATTTCTTATTTATTCCTTCTCTTTGTTTTGTTGCAGGTGCCATTCGGACCCTTGGCTTTTATGCCGGGGAAACTGGTCCACACCAATGAAGTCACGGTGCTGCTCGGCGATAACTGGTTTGCCAAATGCTCAGCAAAACAAGCCCAGGGGATCGTCGACCACCGGATGAAACGTGAGTCCTACGTGTTTAAGGTTCTATATGACGCAAAATTGACTCTTGTGAGATTTAAGACATGTTATAATGTTGTTACCTCCTCAAAAACAGACCTGGAGTTGTGTTTTGTAATCGTGCATTAAGTTGTCTACATCTCAAAAGCTCAAAATACTCTGTTCTACCTTGTGATGTAATAAAGTGGTAGTTTTTTGGAATTTATTTCAAACATGCATAGAAAAAACTGTATAAAACATATCAAAAAGCATTAGAAAACTCACCATTTAAGAGGATTTGTAATCTTTTTATATACAAGGAATTACATGTTCGAAAAGGAGCAGGTAGAAATATAAACTTATTTATTTCCACCCCTTTTCCTGAGAGAAAAAATAACATTCTATTAGGGATGTAACGATATCCAAATCTCTCGGTACGATATTATCACGATATGCATCTCACTGTACGATATTTATTGCGATATTTTGGAGAGGCTGATATAATTGTAGATAGGACACTTTTCTGCTTTTAAAATACTCTGACAAGATTTTGGTGTGAATTATTTCCATCATAATCCCAAAAATTCAAGTAAAAAACACATTTCTTCATGTTGCCTCACTGAAAAGAATCATGGGATATGTAGTTTCTGATGTTCATAAGCTGTTGCTACTGTAAAACCCGTGAATTTAAGCAAAGGAACTTGTAATTCGATATATTGTGATGGTTCATGATATTATTGTGAGACTGTTGACGATACGATATCACAATATTTTGTTTTTTGTTACATCCCTGTATTCTATGCGTCCTTCTCATTTGAATAAGTTACAGTATGCACAGTTCACTTTTTTATCCTCAAGTTAACACCTACTTTTGCCTTTAGTTTAGTAGAGATGGGTTTTCAGGGATGAAATTAAACTAATAATTCTATTGAAGGTGTATAGCAGGGGTCTCCCACCTTTTCCCTCCGCTGAGCGACTTTTACAAAACAAAAATGCCAAGAGCTACCAGATTTAGTGGTCACAAGAAATTGAATCGATGTAATAAAAAGGTGGTGAGTCTTAAATAGGGCACAGATAGATGCCTGTAAAACATAAACCATTATCTATTTATTAGACTTAGACTTTCACAAACTTTATTGATCCACAAAGGAAACTATTTGGACACAGTCACTCACACATCACAATATAATATAATAACAAAAAGTAAAAAATATAATAGTAATAAATTCTTAATACGTAGCAAAAAAGGTAGCAAGAGACATAATTATATAAATGTATATGCACAACTCAAAATAAAATAGAATTATTAGTGCACAAAGTTGAAAATTTTATATTTCTAATGGCAATAGGAATTTAATTAATCAAACTGTAGTTATTAGCACAGTACAGATAATTCAGAAATCCTTCGTCGAGCTACTTGGAAAGGGGTGGAGAGTTACTGGTAGCTCCCGAGCTGCAGGTTGGAGACCTCAGGTGTATAGAGTTTAAAAACACAGTGGAGCACTTCTTGTATTGCCACATGACATCACAAGGTGGAACGGTGTGTTTTCTGTTTGAGAGAAGAATTCAGCCAATATATAGACTTGGACAAACTTTATTGATCCACAAGGGAAATTATTTATACACAGTAGGTCACACATCACAATATTACAAGTACTACAACAACTTCTACTACTACAACAACTTCTACTGCTACTACCATTACTATTACTGCTACTACCATTACTATTACTGCTACTACCATTACTATTACTACTACTACCATTAGCACTACTACTATTAGTACTACTACTACTACTATTACTACTTCTACTATTACTACTACTACTACTACTACCACTACCACCACCACTACTACTACTACTACTACTACTACTACTACTACTACTACTACTACTACTACTACTACTACTACTACTACTACTACTACTACTACACTACTACTACTACTACTACTACTACTACTACTACTACTACTACTACTACTACTACTACTACTACTACTACTACTACTACTACTACTACTACTACTACTACTACTACTACTACTACTACTACTACTACTACTACTACTACTACTACTACTACTACTACTACTACTACTACTACTACTACTACTACTACTACTACTACTACTACTACTACTACTACTACTACTACTACTACTACTACTACTACTACTACTACTACTACTACTACTACTACTACTACTACTACTACTACTACTACTACTACTACTACTACTACTACTACTACTACTACTACTACTACTACTACTACTACTACTACTACTACTACTACTACTACTACTACTACTACTACTACTACTACTACTACTACTACTACTACTACTACTACTACTACTACTACTACTACTACTACTACTACTACTACTACTACTACTACTACTACTACTACTACTACTACTACTACTACTACTACTACTACTACTACTACTACTACTACTACTACTACTACTACTACTACTACTACTACTACTACTACTACTACTACTACTACTACTACTACTACTACTACTACTACTACTACTACTACTACTACTACTACTACTACTACTACTACTACTACTACTACTACTACTACTACTACTACTACTACTACTACTACTACTACTACTACTACTACTACTACTACTACTACTACTACTACTACTACTACTACTACTACTACTACTACTACTACTACTACTACTACTACTACTACTACTACTACTACTACTACTACTACTACTACTACTACTACTACTACTACTACTACTACTACTACTACTACTACTACTACTACTACTACTACTACTACTACTACTACTACTACTACTACTACTACTACTACTACTACTACTACTACTACTACTACTACTACTACTACTACTACTACTACTACTACTACTACTACTACTACTACTACTACTACTACTACTACTACTACTACTACTACTACTACTACTACTACTACTACTACTACACTACTACTACTACTACTACTACTACTACTACTACTACTACCACTACTACTACTACTACTACTACTACTACTACTACTACTACTACTACTACTACTACTACTACACCACAATACATGTAATACTACTACTACTACTACTACTACTACTACCACTACTACTACTACTACTACTACTACTACACTACTACTACTACTACTACTACTACTACTACTACTACTACTACTACTACTACTACTACTACTACACCACTACTACTACTACTACTACTACTACTACTACTACTACTACTACTACTACTACTACACTACTACTACTACTACTACTACCACTACTACTACTACTACTACTACTACTACTACTACCACTACTACTACTACTACTACTACTACTACTACTACTACTACACTACTACTACTACTACTACTACTACTACTACTACTACTACTACTACTACTACTACACCACTACTACTACTACTACTACTACTACTACTACTACTACTACTACTACCACCACTACTACTACTACTACACTACTACTACTACTACACTACTACTACTACTACTACTACTACTACTACTACTACTACCACCACTACTACTACTACTACTACTACTACTACTACTACTACTACTACACTACTACTACCACCACTACTACTACTACACTACTACTACTACTACTACTACTACTACTACTACTACTACTACTACTACACTACTACTACTACTACTACCACTACTACTACACTACTACTACTACTACTACTACCACCACCACCACTACTACTACTACTACCACCACCACCACTACTACCATTAATACTACTAATAATAATAGTATGGTATAGTATAGTAATGTAGTATAGTAGTAGTAGTAGTAGTAGTAGTAGTAGTAGTAGTAGTAGTAGTAGTAGTAGTAAGAGTAATCAAAAGAGTAATCATAAAATAGCAAAAATAGCAAGAGACTGGTGTTAAATAAGGCATAATTATATAAATATAAATGTACATGCAGGATTTGTGTGTAAATTTTTTTTTTGATGAGGAAACAACATTTTAACAGATACATGCTAAAAAATATTGCGCTCTTCACTGGCGAGCTACATCCAGCAGAGGGCGTTGTAGCACAAAGTTAGAAGTTCTGTTCCTTTGACACATCTTTGTAGTTTTGAGGTTTGTCAGCGCATTCCTCTATCATCATTACGACACGATTGTTTTTATGAGTCTATATTTTAATGACTCTGCTTCAGTTCTGAAAATGTGTTAACAGACTTTCCAGTTTACGCAATTCACGTGTATCGGTGTGAACTCTGTGATCGCTAATGTGCAAATTTCTCCACAGTCACAGCTCATCTTTTTTCTCATTTGCATTCTTTCTTAATTGTTCATTTCTACCTATTTTATGTTCATTCCAAGTCTGAGAAAGTCATACAGAGTCAAATGGGCCCTCATAACGGTCTCCACATTATTAGAGTGGTTAGTGGAGCAGAAATGCAGTGGAACAGCCCATAGCAGGCACCCCCGCCCGCCCGCGCCCGCCCCCTGACCCTGCCCACCAGCCTATTTCCAGAGCTAAGTGCTGTAATGCAAACACAACTGGCTCAAAAGTGTCAGACAGCAGCGCGCTTGTCAGGCCTCGTGTGTTTGACCTTTTCTCACTTCCGCTTGATGCGCTGACTGGAGGGGCTCCCGATCGCCATGGAAACACGGGCCCTCTGCTGCTATTAGTAAAAGGGCTTAATTGTTGTGAAGATTTAATGATCCGGAGTAGTATTCGGGGCAGAAGATATTATGAACTGTTTTTGTCATCATTTTTCATTCCTCCCCCTCCAACATCACCAAGACTTTAGCACACTGTAGGAAAGGCTTGTCATTTGTACACAAAGGAAAGGCCGCAATTATTTTTGTACCACACAAAGTGACTGCACGCGCGGTCTGTCTCTATAATATGATTGTTTTCTACAGATGTGAAGCTTGAACTTGATGAACTGACAAAGACAATGAAGAACTTTGAAGCCAGAGTCGGGTTTGCAAAGGATATGCAAACAATGTCGCTGGTATGTTTAATCAAAACTGTGATACAAATAACTCACTGGTCAAAACGAATATATTACAAGTTTGTGACAAGAAAGAAACAGTAATCATATACTTACTACATGTACAATGTAAACAAAAGAAAAGCACATTTCTCGAAAAGGAGTGGAAGAAGAAAACTCTTGCTCATTACAGAGTTTCAAACATTTTGTGGTTGCTTATGTACATAGATTACAAAACTTTAACAAATATTTAAATATAGCACAATAAATTACACACTATACATACTAAATGTGTTATAGACATAAAAATTCATACTTGTTCTGTCTTTTTTTGTGCTGTACTTATGTTTTACCATTATTTTTTATAATTATATTTGTTTTATAGAACAAAGGAGAGTATGTCGACATCAGAGAAGATGTTGAGAATAATGAAGCTGTTAACAAAGGTGAAGTATAGATGCATTATAAAATAAATACTTTATGGGCTCCATATAATTACACAAAATGGATTCTTGTGAGCTTTTAGTGTTATAAAGTTGTTACCTCAGCACAAACATACCTGGAGTTGTGTTTTGTTTACACACGTTTGAGTAATCCTGCATTGTTAGTCTTTCTTCTTCTTCAAATCTTAATAAGCTCTGTTTCACCTTGTGATGTCATGTAGTGTTAGTTTTCAAGTGAACATCTCCCTTCAGAACATTTAATCACTAAGAGGATCAACCCCTTGAGTTGAAGCATCTTGTTTTGCAGGGGGTCCTTTTACTTTTAGTTTAGTAGAGATTGGCAGTTCAAGGACGGAAATCATCCAAATACTTTTAGAGAAGGTGAATGGAGTTTAAAAACACAGTGGAGCACTTACCGTATTAGTGTTTTCAGTTTGAGAGAAGAACACAGCCTAAATATGAAGGGTTTGTGTGTGAATGAAACAAAACAGAACTTCAGGTATGTTTGTGCTGAGGAAACAACACTATAACAGATCCAAAAACGGCGTAATATAGGCATTTAAACACATTTACATTTAAAGTTGAATCACTTTTGTTTTGTTTTCTTCTACAAAGGAAAACCCAGGATAGCTCATAAGCCTAAATCCAAGCCGAAGCTGGGCCCTGTTATAGATCTGAAAGAGGAGGATGAGGAGGAGGAAGGAGACGTGCGTAAGGGCGTCCTGTCTGAGGAGGAACTCTGGGCTCGGCTCGATGAGCTGGAGAGACTGGAGGAGCTTCAGGATGAACAGGACAGGTACAAAAACACACAAAAATGCACTATGTAACTTTTTGGTTGGGCTCCGTCGCCTGCTTGTTTCTGTGGAGATGCCATTGCTCTGCCTGGAATGTTCCACAGTATGACATTAAACAGCTCTACCTTAGATTTACTCAATTACTGATGATTTCATAGCTCAAAATACCTAGAAAAACTGTCCTTCTGACTGTGAGCTGGGTCTGGTTTGGTCTCCATGACGATAGAAATGTTTAATGCCATACTGTGAAACATTCCAGACAAAGCATTAACATCTCCATGGGAAAAAAAAGCATGCGTGCACCAGAAAAGTTACACAATACACCTTTTAGAAACACTTTTAACACTCTGCCTCTCTAATGCGATGCTTTACGTTATTTTAGATTGTCAGACACTGCTGATATGAATGGTGAAGACACTTCCTCGTCTTCCTCAGAGGAAGAGAAGGACGGAGATCACGCAGCTCCTGTGAATGGACTGAGTCTGAAGCCCAGCTGGACAACAGGGCCTCCCAGTGACGCTCCGCCAAGCAAAGAGACAAAGGACCATGATGATGATGATGAGGAGGAGGAAGTCCACAGTCTGCCAACTATCTCTTTCTCACACACAGTGGAACCCAAGAAGGCCAGTATATATTCAGATTTCAAATATAAAAGATTAGGGATGCACCGATACGATACTGGTTTCAGGTATCGATGCAATATTGAAAATTTTTATGGATCCCATATCAGTTTCAAGATATAATTTAGTTGATATCCCAGTTTGAGCTATAATTTAGCCGATATCAGCCCAAAACACCTCATAATATTGTGCTTGTACTTTCTTAAAATATTGTAGTTTCTTCATCATGATAAATAAGTTACACATTTGGATCATTTTTACCAGACACCGTTTGTGCTTAAAGGGAATAAATTGTAAGTATCGACATCAGTACAGTCACATTATGTCAAACTAAATATTTTAACGTTTTTGGAACCCAAGTGGAACCCAAGAAGGCCAGTATATATTCAGATTTCAAATACAAAAGATTAGAGCTGCACCGATACAATATTGGTTTCGGATATCGACACAATATTAAACATTTTTATGGATCGGATGTTGGTTCCAAGATACAGTTCTGTTGATATCCCAGTTTTATCTATAAATTGGTTGATAGCAGCTCAAAATACCTCTTAATATTGTGCTTGTACTTTCTTAAAACAGTTCTGTAGTTTCTTCGTAATGATAAATAACAGCTACAAACACATTTGGATCATTTTTATTAGACACCGTTTGCTTTTAAAGGGAATAAATTGTAAGTATCGACATCGGTATTGGAACAGAAAAAGCTGGATCGGTGCATTCTTTAAAAAATAAATAAATAAAATACTTACAATCACATTATGTCAAACTAAATATTTTAACGTTTTGCTTTTTTTTTCAACTTTAGGTCAGGATAAATACAGGAAAAAACACCACACTGAAATACAGCGAAAGAAAAGAACAAAAGGAGCATTCAAAAAAGAAGAAAAAGAACGGGCACTCCAATGGACACTCCCACCCAGAGCATTATAAAATCACCTCACCAGCCGACATCTACAGGTACCACTCACATTACACACTGATACTTTACACCTGATTGTGTCTGAGGCTGCATTAGACTTTTATCTGAGCTTTATTTTATCTCACTCTAACCATGAAGAGCTGATTTGTGTTGTTTAACAAGTCGCTCACACAATCACAAGGTAGTCAGCATTATCCAACAGTTTTTCAATTCGTCACTCTCACCTTTCTGTTGAAAATCATACACCAAAACATCATCATGAGCGCAAGTATTGATCACAGGCTCTAGTGTATCTTTCCTGGTGCAGTGTTCGCTACCTGCTGGTCTCCATAGAGATCTTGTCACTTTGTCTGGAATGTTCCACAGTATAATATTTAATTCATCTTGTAATCACAACTTGCAAAAACGCAGGAATTGTTATTGTGTTCATATCTGACCTATTTTGACAGTGTTTGCTAATGTGAGCACTGTGTCACCATTAGGGCTGGGTATCATTAAGAAGTTGCTGATACGATACCTACCTCGATACAGTGTACTTTCAGTTAGATACGATATATTTCAAATTGATTCGATACGGTTCAATTAAAAATAATTGCTAATTCATGGCTTGATACTAAGGCCCCATCCACACTAGTACATATTCAAGTCGTTTTCGTTGTGGATGCAGTGTTCGTCCACATTAATCCGATGGAAAATGGCTCCATAGAAGGAACTATCTGGTGCCGGCAGCTCCCACGAATTCATCTGTGTACGGATCTGATCCAGCACTGTGTGGACACCTGAAAATGCTGATACACTGACGTAGGAGCTCTAGTTGCGTCCTTATTGGACCACGTCACTGTGACTTGCAACTTTCTGATTCACTGGGTTCATGTCATCGGTCATCCAGACTCTGAGCCACCATGCTCGTCTTAAAATCCAGTGTTACATTCAGTAACAACTGAACCTCGTCGGTCCACGAAAAGACGCTTTCACGCTTTCCGTCTTTCTCGGCTCGAAATTGGCTGCTGCAACTTCAGACAGGGTGCTCCACTTTCTTGTTTGTATCGTCCATATGACGTCGTAACGCCAGCCTAGTCACGTGACTAGCGTTTGAGGCAGTTTCACGTTACTGTGTGGATAGGGAAGGCTTTGACTGTGGACACAGAAACAACGTGTCTGGACGCACATCATTTCTGGTGATACAGTGGTTAATTTCAGTGTAAACATAGCCTTAAAGTCTTTGTTAAACCACTTCTTGTGCAAAGTTCATATGAAACACAAACATTTTAATCCTCAAAACAGTGAAAATGTCAAATGTGTTGCATGAATGAGTTTCCTTCCACTAAACAAGCAACAAAACTGTAGCACTGTAACAAAATAATTTAGAAAAATATACTAAAAATACTCTTGGCAATCTATCGATACAGCAGCCCACAATATTGATACTGTATTGTCACATTAAACGATACGATATAGCGATATTTCAATATTTTTGCATGCCCGAAGTCACCATATTAACTTCTAAACATTCCTCTAATAGAGTTGCATGTAGAACACCCCCAGTGTCATGTCAAATGTCAAAGTCTCTCATCCGACTGTCTATCTTAAACTCAGGTTGTTTGTGGACGTGAAGAACGGAGAGCCCATCCCCAGAAAGTCCATCCTGAAGTCGCGCAGTCGAGAGAACAGCGTGTGCAGCGACACGAGCGAGAGCAGCGCCGCAGACTTCGAGGAGCGGCGGATGGTCATACGCAGCTGTAGTCATGACGACACCACCACGCACAGCGACACCAGCGACGGCATCACCGAGGAGGACAGCCCCATCACAGCGCCCATGTACATGCACCCAACCAGCCGATTCGAGGTGAGGACACGGCCACGGTTTATTTAGACTTAGACTTAGACGAACTTTATTGATCCAGAAGGGAAATTATTTGGACACAGTAGCTCATACATCACAATATAATATAATAACAAAGAACAAAACTATAAATGGTGATAATAAATTCAAAATAAGTAGCAAAAATAGCAAGAGACTGGTGTTACATAGGCATGATTATTAGGGCTGGGTATCATTAAGAAGTTGACAATACGATACATATCTCGATACAGTGCACTTTTGATTCGATACAATATATTTCAAATTGGTTTGATTCAGTTCAAGAAAAAGTAAAGGCTAAATCATGACTGTGATTACAAAAGTCTACTTCTTGTGCAAAGTTCATATGAAACATGCCCATTTTAATCCTCAAAACAGTCAAAATGTCAAGTGTGTTGCATAAATTTTCTTTCCTCTAAACAAGCAACAAAACTGTAACTCTGTAACAAAATTATTTAACTAAATATACAAAAAAATACTCTTGGTATTCTTACAGCAGCCCACAATATCGATACTGTATCATCATTTAACTATACAATATATAAATATTTTGCACACCCCTAATAATTATATAAATGTATATGTACAAGTAAGAATAAAATATAGAAAGAAAAATATAATAATACAGATATATCTCAATTACATACGAGAGGTGAGTTGTTGTGCCGCGGGGGCTTAAAAGTCTTAAAAAGGTCTTAAAATTCATGTTCCTAAATTAAGGCCTTAAAAAGTTTTAAATTATGTTGTCCAAGTCTTATTTCTTTCACAAAGGTCTTAAATTTCATTTGCCTATGTTTTTTTCGTATACTCAACCGAGCTGCAGTGCAAATGTTAAACGGGAGAAAAAAAAAACAACAACAATGTGAAATCCCATAACATGAATGAACGTTTAATTTGGAGTATGCGCAAACAATACTTTGTCTTGTTAGAATGTTATAAACAATTTTTTGGCCATTTTACAAGCAATGCATACGAATATAAATGAGTTCTAATGAGATTTTATAATAAAAGTATTTTTGTTAAGCTTTGGGGGCAGGAGTGCTACTAGGATATACAAAAATTGTGCAGAATTGTCCTTTTGGTGCTCTTCAGTGTAGGGACCAGTCTCAAATACAAAGTAGGAAAAAAATGAGGCACTAAAAAAGTACAAAATAATTAAAAGCCATGGCAGATAAAGTTAAAATCACACCACAAGTATTTTTTGTTATTTAAAGCAGTGTGTAATGGTCATTATTAGAATTGAATCTAGTGTTTTTCGCCCGCACAATGAGTACAATGTTGGCCTTATTTTCATTTAAGTGATCTTAAAGTCTTAAATTTGGGGTAGTCAAACCTGAGGATACCTTGCTATCTATTTGCCTTTTTATTCTTGTTACAGCACAGAGCCCAACAGCCTCTCTTAACCAGCAGCATGTCCCTATTCGTTTTTTTCCCTGAGTCTCTGCCCAAGTATCTGCCCCAGAGCATCTGACCTCTGAGTATTTATACAGAAAGAGAGTTACATACATATCAAAGCAGAGTGACTTTTGATTCAGAGGCTGGTGTTAATCAACTTAACCTACATTTGAAGACGGCTTAGACAATGCAGTTTCCTGTGAGTGGAGACAGTTGTGTCTACTGAGCCTTTACACATGTTAATGACTGGTCTGGGTCTCAGGTAAATCACATTCATTTACCGTATTTTCCAGGCTATTAGGCGCTCTGAATTATAAGGCGCACTGACATTAAATGATCTATTTTCGAACTTTTTTCACAAATAAACCGCGCCGGACGTTAAACGAAACACAACAGTTGGATGGGTCAGTGGGACTTTGTTTGGTGCGTTCACAGTGACTCTGGGCTTTGTTCAGTTGTGGCGTGTAGGGAGGGTGCTGTCTGGGACCGCTGGATTGTCGGCGTGTTCGCAGTGACTCATTTGTTCAGCTGTGTCTAGAATTGGCGCATTGCCTTCGTTCCGTTCCTCGTCGGCATGGAGTGATGAGTGTGTCTGTGGGTGTTTATCTCTGCGCGGTCGCTGTCTGCTCCGTGCGTGTTTGCGTGCGCTGCGGGTGGTGCGGCTTTGTAGTTTACTGAAGTCGTGCTGGGACACCCGAGGGGATTCGTGTATAGGGCGCTCTGGATTGCGAGGCGCGCAGTCATTTTTTGATGGGGTTGGAGGCTTAAGAGCGGAAAATACGGTACACAAAGACAAATTGAGAGAAATCTTTCCACAACATGAATTTCCATCACATTATCTTGCAATTACAACAGTTTTTTATTGCAGAAAAAATCTTATTGTGTTCATATATTACCAATATTGATCTAAATCGACTTAACAAAAGAAACAAGTCCACTGACCAGCGTTAGAAAACTGCCGCGCCCGGTAGGAGCTGACGTTGTCGTAAACGTCTTCACAAAAAAGAGCCCTGTAGCTGTCGGCCCCTCCTATGGATAACTGCAGATCACATCAGAAAGCAGCAGAAATTTCTTCTTTTCTATCAAAATGACTCTGTGACGCTTCTGAATCCTAGGCGTATCACTGATTGAGAAAATAAAATTGGAGAACAAAGTAAGTAAAGAGCAATGGGCGTGTGCTGGTGGTGGTGAAAACGGGTGAAAATGGTGTCGAGTTTCGAAAATAAGTGATTAAATATTGCTTAAACATGCATGAATCACTTCTAATACAATTTTGAGAGGGTAATAATAACATGGTTAAACGTTCTAAAGTCAGTTTTTGCAGAATTGGTCTCTGCTTTAACTGTCTATCCCACTGTCCACATTCTCCAAGTTTATGTATTTTAAGTATGAATCATTTTCTCCTCTTTGTTTTCTAGGCATTTTCGGGCACCGTCATAGAAAAGGACCCCATGCCTACGACTGTCCCCCATCTGACCATCGCTCCGCCCGGCCTGCCCACCATTCTGGAGAGGAAACAGGAGGAGGTGGGGCCCGAAGCCTCCTCCACAGACAATACTCTGCTACCACCTCCGCAGGCGCCCGTCAAAAAGGTCTCCAAGTTCAAAGCTGCCAGGCTACAACAAAAGTGAACAAAAAAATATTCCGTAAATCTTTATACCTGTTTTCTACTACTACTTGTACTGCTCCGACCACCCATTCTCCTGTCAATTTCTATTTACACTGCCTTTCTTAGATTAAAGCATTTGCAGTTTTGTCTAGCTTGTGTTTGGAATAGTATAGCAATGCATAAAATGTGCTTAACTACTCCTACAATAGCATTTAAAGAACCTGTATTACGCCTTTTTCTGATCTGTTATAATGTTGTTTCCTCTACTGAACGTAAAGGTAAATGGTAGCTGGTAACGTGAAACTACTTCATGACATCACAAGGTGGAACAGAGCATTTTCAGGTTTAAGATGTAGACAGACTAATAATAATCAACCTGGTTACTGTATTTTTTGGATTGAAAGTCACTCCGGAGTATAAGTCTCACCAGCCAAAAAATGCATAATGAAGAAGAAGAAAACATATAAGTCGCACTTTTTGGGGGAAGTTTATTTTGTAAAATTAGAGACCAGGAACCGACATTTCATCTTGAAAGTCAAGTTCTATTAATAACAATAAAACAGAGAACAACAGACTGTTAACGTCACATATGAACAGTTCTTCAGATAACTATAGCATAAACAACAGAACAGAACAAGTTTACCAAACTCTCCATCTCACTCCAAATCACTAAATCCATTAAATTCTTCATCCTCGGTGTCACTTCTGAGCAACTCCGCGACCTCCGGAGGTAAACAGAGCGCCGCTTCCTCTTCTGTGTAGCTGTCATCAGACTCAGCATCAGTTCCAGTCAGAATCTTTCCGACCTTTCTGAATCCCGACAGGATGGTTTCGGTTGTCTTTATGTTTAAACTTAAAATTTTCAGTGGTACAGAAGTAATGGTGCGAATCGACTGACACGATACAAACAGAACAGCGGCTCAGACAGGACACAAGCCTAAAGAGTCCTCACGTGGCTGTCGGTGGGAAAATTTTAACATATAACCGGAGTATAAGTCGCAGGAAACACCCAAACCATGAAAAAAGTGCGACTTATAGTCCAAAAAATACGGTAATTCAAAAATGCAAAATGGATTCTAATTTTCAACTCTAAATAACAGTACAGTATTGTCATCACATTAACATTGGAGTCTTATACTAGTTCAGACAGATGTTTAAGATGATTCTAAAACTGTTCAGAAAAGGTAAAGTTTTTATTGATTAATTGTTGTTGTTGTTGTTATTGTTATCCTGTTCAAATTAGTATCTCGTTTTGATACAAGACAATACTGAGTAAGAGTTGTTTTTCTCAGCACTAAAACATGTGTGAATGAAATAAAACACAACTCCGGGTCTGTTTTCGAGGAGGTAACAACATTATAACCTGATTTAAAGCTCACGAGAGTCAGTTTTGCGTAATATCGGACCTTTTTAAAATGTGTCCGTTTAATAATATAAATTTCTAGTGACCATATCGGCGTTCGTCTGTTATATCAACACTATAAACTAGAGCTTCTGAATCTTCTGTCACTTAGGACAAGATGCCTTTCTCTTCCTCTTTCCTGAGCCGAATTCTCTGCTTTAACGGTGCACTGCGCAACTTTTCTAACTCCTTGTCTCCGTGGCGATGCTACCCCTGTGCTTGAAACGTTCCATAGTATGACTTTAATTGTATAAATCTAGCATTTATTCATTACAGAAGTTTCTATTGCTCAAAAATACAGTTCAATACTTTAATTCCTTCTGTGAATACTGACTCGGGATGGGTTTAGTCTTTACTGTGGAACATTCTAGACCAAGGAGTAGCGTTACCATGGAGACAGGCCACTAGAAATGTTCCGCAGTGCTGCTTTTTAACTTGTATTCTCCCGATCTACTGTACCTAATGAATGTATGTACTCCTTTGTGACAAGCTTTATGTAGAAGCTGAAAAAGACATTGCAAATAAATGATTTTGACACAAGTTTCTCTTTTTTTTTTTTTTTTGGTTTTGTTTTGTTTTTTTATCCGCGTGATAAAATCCTCCTTAGGCTTTTTAACACAGACGATTACATTGATTATTGTATAAATTTAAGTTATTAATGTCGTACACTTTAAACAGCTCTTAAGGACCTAAATTAGTAACTTCTTATGAGTTTTATGTTAATTGCTTTCCATCGCGCAGATCTGAATAATGCTCCCAAGTTTTCAAACAGCAGATCAGGCGTATTAGCGGCCATATTGATACTGTAATGAGTCTGAACCCCGAGGAAAATATTTTATTACAGACGACATCTTCTTAATGTAGTGATTTTTGGGGTGTCAGATGGGAACTGTATGTACACAAATCATTACAGAAAATGTCACTTTTTGGTTTTGTTTTTTAATTTGGTGAGTATTATTGACAAAATTTAAAGTATTTGAACAATATTATGACATTATGTTCATTAGACATATGTGTTACGATGTACTGCCAGTAAGTTTTTTTTATTTTATTACTATTATTTTTTAGTACTTTCTGCATTTTATAAAAACACAAGAGACATCCAATATATGGAGTAAAATATATGGAATTATATAGTAAAGGAAAAAAAGGTAAATTAAAAGGTAAATATTTTTGTTTTATATTTAATCTCCTAGTAATTGTAGTAGTTGTAGTTGTAGTAGTAGTTGTCGTAGTTATAGTAGTTGTCGTAGTAGTTGTTGAAGTTGTAGTCGTAGTTGTAGTTGTAATTATAGAAGTTATAGTAGTAGTAGTAGTAGTAGTAACCTTTTGCTTTGTCAGACAATATTTTTTGAGTTATTTTACTTTTTTACTTTTACTATTTTCTACATTTGATATACACACAGAAAACTTCAGATATTTGAGGCATGATTTATGGAATTAGAAAAAGGAAAGAAAAAAATATAAAAAAAAATAGCTATAAATAACTAAATGTGCTTTTTTTAAATTTTATTTCCAAATTCTAAAAATAGCCACCCTTTGCTTGGTTGAAAAATATTTAGTAGAGTTATTTAATGTTTTTCTTTACTATAATTTCATACACTGACAGTGAAAAGTTTGGACACATAATCTCATTCAGTGTTTTTTTTTTTTGTTTTGTTTGTTTTTTGTTTTGTTTTTTTCCATATATTTTTACTACTTTCTACCTTTTATATACATACAGAACTTTTCATATACAGTATATAAAGTAAGATGCATGGAATTATGTAGCAAAGGGGAAAAAAAGAAGAAAAAAGATATATACACACACACATATGTACATATATATAATATATATACATACATTATATATATGTATATACATATATATATATATACATACATATTTATATATATATATATACACACACATACATACATATACATATATACATATACAATTTTGTATGTTTATATTTCAAATGCTCAAAGTAGCCACCCATTTTTTTACAACTTTCTACATTTGATATACACACAGAAGACTTCAAATATTTGAGGTAAAATATACGGATTATTTAGCCAAGAAGAAAAGGTAAATAACTAATTCAACTGTTACCAAGCAAAGCTCCTCACAGAAATTGAGAAGTACACAGAAATTATCTGACACCTTTATTTTATTGAATTAATTAATTTATAAATTATAATCTCACCAAATTCACCAAGTCAAAATTAGAGAATTGTAAAAATGTGTCATGTGCACTTTAAAGGTACATTGTGTAACTTTGAGGTGGAGGGTCCATTGCCTTCTTGTTACTATGGAGATGTCATTGCTCTGCCTGGAATGTTCCACAGTGTGACTTTAAACAGCTCTACCTTATACTTTTTTTAAATTACAGTTGATTTGTTTAGCTCACAAAACCTTGAAAAACCGAGATAAACAGATGGATTTGACCTATAACTCTGTCTGGTTTGGTCTCCATGAAGACCGTTTGACTGACTCCTGCAGAAAAGTTAAACGACGCACCTTTAACTTTATCTGTCCGTTGTCAAAATGTTACGGACGTGTTCTGGGCGAGAGTGGTTAAACATGTTATTTAAAAAGTACTTTGCGTAATTGAAGCTCAGAGGCTATCACTGCTTTTCCCGGTGAAATGGCTGGAGTGCAGGCCGGAGATAAGGAGCTTTAAAAGTCCTGAGGTGACTCCCCCTCTATTTCCTTCAGGATTATTTCTCCAATATAAAAATCCAGGTAGCATGACACAGATTAGGGAACGCTTAACACTTTGGAGTTGTGTTAGTTAGACACAGATCAGCGGTCTTATGTGGGGTAAGCTGTGAAAGTATACGGAAGAACATAGTCGCAATACGTTTTCAAAGAAGAGCGCAGACTGTAATGGGGCTCCAGATCTACACGGGAGGATTAGGAGGATTTGTGTGATGAGGATTGCAGTATTGTATTGTTGTGTGGACAGGTACAGGGCCTAAGAGGTGCGCGCTCAGAGTTACACTTGTAAATGCCAGATGAACGGATTAAATCAGAGTGAGCGCGTCTTCTTAACGGCTATTAGAACGTACGATATGGTTTTAAGTCTGCAGTGGTAAAAGTTAAAGATGCACAGCTGAACTCCACTTTATGTCTTTGGAGATGTTCCTGTTTTGCCTGGAATTTGCCAAAATATTGATTCATTGATTAATTTCTTTCGCTCACAGGTTTATTTTGACATTATTTCACAAATTTAAAGGGGCAGTTTGGAATTTTGGACATACAGCTCTGGAAAAAAATAAGAGACCACTCCAAAAATGATAGGTTTTTCCAATTTTACTACCTATAGGTATGTGTTTGAGTAAAATGGACATTTTTGCTTCATTCTATAAACTACTGACAACATTTCTTCCAAATTCTGAATAAAAATATTGTTTTTATTTGGAATTTGGAGAATTATTGTTCTCTCTAATTTATGTAATTAATGTCTCTCTCTCTTTTTTCATTTTAATCTTAAATTTTGTGATGATTATTTATGTTTTGATTTGTTTTTACTGTGATTTTAATGTATTTCTTATTCTGTAAAGCACTTTGAATTACTTTGTGTACGAACTGCGCTGTACAAATAAACCTGCCTTGCCTTGCCTTACCGTATTTTCCGCAAGATAGGGCGCACTCATAAGCCTCCAACCCCGTCAAAAAACGACTGCACGCCCCGCAATCCAGAGCGCCCTATACACGAATCCACTTGGGTGTCCCAGCACGACTTCAGTAAACTACAAAGCCGCACCACCCGCAGCGCACGCAAACACACACGTCACTCCAACGAGGAATGGAAAGGAATTTTACTACCTATAGGTATGTGTTTGAGTAAAATGAACATTTTTTTTTTTTTTTTGGATCCTTTGCGGCAAACTAAAACAAAACATAAACCACGACTACATGGGTCATGGCAGTCCGAGCTGAAACAAAGGTACCAAATGCATGAACAATAAGTTTGCATTCACAACTCCACTCACTGTACATATAAGAGACAAAATATAAAAATTAAAAACAAACCAAAACTCAATGCACAATTCATCAAATCCAGAGCTCCATATTTTCCAAAACACAACAGTCTATACTCTTTTAAAATGGTTTCTACAGTGTTGAAATGTTTAAAGTCATTGCTCCGATTATTTAACAAACCAAAATCTACCAGAAATGTCTTTCTTCCTCGTTCTTTTTTCCCCCGTTTATGGTCGTATAAACTAATAATAATGTTAAAAAAGGGACAAAAGTTTATTGTTTATGATCGTGCGAAATAAACTACAAAGAGAATGAAAGACTGTAAGGATTATTTGTTTCTCATTTATGGTCGTACAAACGAATAATAATTTAATGAAGGTGAAAAAGTTTATTGTTTATGATCATGCGAAATAAACTACAATGAGAATTAAAAAATAAAAAAAAAAAAGGTGTAAGGATATTTTGTTTTTGTTTATGGTCGCGCAAACTAATACTAACATTAACGAAGGCACAAAGGTTTATCGTTTATGATCATACAAAATAAAAGTTAATGTTAAAGAAAATTTTAAAGAAGTGCATGTGTTTAGTAGTTAATAGTTAATAGAGTAAAATGAATATTTGTTTCATTCTATATACTACTGACAACATTTCTTCCAAATTCCAAATAAAAATATTGTTACCGTATTTTCCGCAACATAGGGTGCACTCATAAGCCTCTAACCCCATCAAAAACGACTGCACGTCCCACAATCCAGAGCACCCTATACACGAATCTACTCGGGTGTCCCAGCACGACTTCAGTAAACTACAAAGCCACACCACCCGCAGCGCACGCAAACACACACGGAGCAGACAGCGACCGCACAGCGAAAAACACCCACAGCCACACTCATCACTCCACGCCGACGAGGAACGGAGGAACGAACCAAAAAAGCGAGTGCAATGTGCCACTTCTAGACACAACTGAACAACTGAGTCACTGCGAACACGCCGACAATCCAGCGGTCCCAGACAACACCCTCCCTACACGTCACAACTGAACAAAGCCCAGAATCACCGTGAACACCACAAACAAAGTCCCACTTTTGGGACCATCCAACTATTGTGTTTATATGTGAAAAAAGTTTGAAAATAGAGCATTAAATGACAGTGAGCCTTATAATCCAGAGCGCCCTATAGTGCGGAAAATACGGTATTTAGAGAATTTATTTGCAGAAAAAGACAAATGGTCAAAATAACAAAAAAGATGTAATGTTTTCAAACCTCAAATAATGCGAAGAAAACAAGGTCATATTAATTTTAAAACAACACAATACTAATGTTTTAACTTAGTTCAGAAATCAGTATTTGGTGGAATAACCCTGATGACCGTCCACCTTCCTCTTGATCATGTTCCAGAGGTTTTCAGTGGGGTTCAGGTCTGGAGATTAGGCTGAACATGAGAAGGTCTTGATCTGATAAATGCTCTAAATCACAATATTTTTATTTGGAAATTGGGAGAAATGTTGTCAGTAGTATATAGAACGAAACAAAAATATAAATTTTACTCAAACACATAAGTAGTAAAATC